TGTGAGAAAGGCGGACTATAAATAACGTAAGCAAAAAATAAATCAATACATCACGGCAGGACGTACTTACCTGTTCCCAGTCTGCTTTCCCCCGCACTGTTGATCTTTCTACTAAGTATTGGTAGAGGTGGGGAAAGTAAACGGGACGGCGAGAGAGCGGAGTAAACCGGGCGCCCTTAACATCGGTGCGCGGCTTGACTTGGGAATCTTCTTGCAGCGGCGCCCAGCCTCCCGAGCCCCAACGGAGGCTTTTGTGCCCCGCTGCTTCAAGGGTGTCGTTTCCGCCGTCAAGGTGCTGTCTCCAAAGCACACTGGAGCGCCATCGCCCCGGAGGCTCCTGGTTGGAGCGGGACGCTCTCCCGGCAGCCAGGGGTAGCTGCGCCTGAGCGGGTCCCGGCAGCAGTGCAGAGCTGCGCCTCCCCATCCAGGCGGGGCGCAAAGACGGGAAGCGCCGCCGTCAGACCCGCCCTGCTGCTCCTGGCAAGCCTTGGGAAAGGAGGAAGGAAGGGGGCGCATCCTGCCTGCGGCCCTGGGCTTCTTTCCTTTTGTCCCGCCGGCAGAAGAGTCTCCCAGGCGGCGCTCAGAGGTACAGGATCAGGCCGAGAGCCAGCACAGCGGGCACAGAGCCAAGCAAGACGCTCCCCGGGGGCACCGAGCCAAGCATCACTGGCAGTTCCCCACCCGAACGGTAATTATGGCATAAAAAGTGCATACACTCTTCTTCCACATGCTTGCTCCTAGCCCTAAGTAGCCAGATTTTCCAAGCCCAAATTTCGATTAGCACTCCCATGTCACTGCTGATTTATGGTAACCCCATAGGGTTTTCAAGGCAAGAGATGTTCAGAGGTAGTTTGTCATTTCCCAGACTGCAAATCTGGGTAGGCCAGGCCAGGTCTACTCCAAGATTTAGAGGTACCAAGAAACCTCAGCTTCCCCACATAGAGGGCTGGGCAATTTACATAGCCAGACAGAATAGGAGCCATGAGGATTATTAAAAAGACTGGTGTACCATAAAACTGGCAGACCATTGGTTCTCTAGGCCATCAGCCTGTCACACACACCCCCATGGAAAACTCAGTTCCATTTCTAGTCCCAATCCCAACATATCATTTTAGCCACATGAATTAAGCAGCAATATTATCTCACAGTTTGGTGTAATAGAGCCAGTTTGGTATAGTGGTTAAGTGCACAGACTCTAATCTGGGAGAACTGGGTTTGATTCCCCACTCCTCCCCTTGCACCTGGCTGGATGACCTTGGACAAGCCGTAGTTCTAGCACAGCTGTTCTTGAAAAAGAGCAGTTTCTGTCAGAGTTCTCTCAGCCCCACCTACCTCACAGGGTGTCTGTTGTAGGGGGAGGGGAAGGGAAAGGAGTTTGTAAGCTGCTCTGAGACTCCTTTGGGTAGTGAAGGGCAGGGTATAAATCCAATCTCTTCTCTTCTTCTTCTTCCCAGGCCTATTATCTTTACAGGCCTGACATTGCCCCCCCCCCAATGCTAGAAACCAGTTTCGTGAGGGGATCAGGGTTCACTCAAAAGTACAGCCTATGAACATAAACACAGTTGCCGGTGCTAAATAGGAAACAATGCCCCCCCCCATTTTTTTTAACAAGTAGTATTTCCATAATACCCATCAAGGACAAAATTCAGTATGTTTTTACTCCATTTAGAAGGGGCATAAAAATGGTAAAAATTCTAGTGATTCAGGTATTTCAGGCAATAAACAAAATCTGTGTGTGTCCATTTGATGTAAGAACTGTTGTAAGAACTAAGAACATCAGTGTGGAAAATCCCTCCAAGGAATTATATGAGGGGAAAAACCTTCGAAATCTTTAACTTCCTGAAGATGTTTTGGGGGCATCCAATGCTGAAGCAAAAAATTAATTAAAAAAAGACAGGAGACCACTGGGAGCCCAATATATGAGGAAAAACTATGAATAATACAGAAAATCATGAATAGTAAAGAAAATCAATGCAAGATTAAGCTAAATATAAGTGCTTTGAGGTGTGTTTTAAAATTTGTTGTTGATTTAAAGACATTTTAGTTAGTTACCCATATGAGTGAATGAAGTCTGCATAAGATCAAAATAATAGCATGTTAACTTTTTTATTTGCACTGATGCATGCTTGTGGCACAGCAAGCATTGTCTTAAAAGAGGCCTTCCCTCCTGGGTGACAGAAGGGGA